TATTAAATAAAAAATATTTTAACAAAAAATTTAATACATATTTTTATTACATAAATAGCACGTATTCGAAACATATTTCGTAACAAAAAATTATTTCAACAGAATCAAATCGAAAATAGTGTCTAAAGTATTTCCCAAAATTATTTTTCAAAAGCGTCAGTGGCATTGCAAAGTTTAGCTGCTGACAAGCAATCAGCAGCGTGTCAAGTCAACAATACCGCACAACAACAATAAAACAATTGCAATACGTACAAAATAAATAAAAAAAAAATAAATTCAACAGAGTGAAAAAAAAACAAAAGAAAAACCGAAAAAATTATACTTAAAAGGAAAAACGTCCACAAAAAAAAAGTATAACAACAACAACAACACTACCGGCAATCCATCAACACAGCACTTTTTCAATTCAGCCAATAAATTCAACAGTGCGAGTGCAGCCAGCGAAGCAACAACAATGACAATAACAACCAGCGTTAGCACCGTGTGACCGACCTACCGCACGCATACAATTGCACACTCGAGCAAACACACACGCGGATAGCAGATAGTAGGCAACAATAGCAAAAACAACAACAACAACAACAACAACAAACATCGACAGCAGCTAGTTTATTTGGCAATCGTTGAACCTGCAACGGCGCATCAACTGAGGTCAGTAACACCACCGACTACAAGTCACGTTTGTTTACCTCATAAAACACACACACACACACACATACAACATAGATATTTAGTAGTAAAACTTGCATGCAAACATACAAACATATGTATATAAGTGCATATATGCATACATATGTGTGTATACTATACATGTATTATGTGATATGTAGCTATTTGTTTGAACGGCGCGCCAGCTCTCGATAAACCATAGTTGGGCACTGCCTTTGACTCCGGCATCCACACCCACAAATCATTTGCGCTACACMAGCACACATGCATGCATACRTRCATACATAYATGCGACTCGAAATAGATATGTGTGATTTCGGCTGCTTCCTATGGTCACATGTGTGCAACCATCTGCAGGCCATGCGTCGCCAGCGCGTTACTCAATTGCGCGCCGTTGTTGTGCTGTTGTTGTTTTCTTTATTTTCTTTATTTTATTTTCATTTATTTTCATTTTTCCTTATTTGTTTGTTCTTTATTTGCGCGCTGATTTGAAATTTCGCTTTCAATCCGAATTCCAATTTCGAAATATCAACAGCGCACGAGCAGCCGCGCCATTTCTGGTTCAACGCTTGCTCCACTCGTCAGCCAACGCCAATTCGCATGTGTGTCTGCGTATGCATTTGTGTGTGTGTGTGTGTGCTCTGCAATTACTTTGACTCACTTTATGTGCGCATTTTTCGCAATTTTAATTTTATAACTTTTTTGCCTTTGATTTTTGATTGGAAGTTTTTATGCGATTTGGTTTTTAAATATTCAAGGCACACACACACACGCAAACACACATCCCTACATTGCACTTTATTCGCATTCGCCATGTGGGCTTCTGGTACACGCCCCAATGCGCTTCGATTTGACGCGCTGTGTCCGCGTGCGCCGCGTTTGGCATCTCATGGGGCCTTAAGTGGTCCAACGGCGGCGCATATGGCAATGACTGTTGCCGCWTGTGCCGCAGCTAGTGATTTCAATTCAATACTCACATATGTCACGCCTTTGGCCGCAATGAAGCGTGCGCGCTGGTGCACAGTGTGGTGGAGTGGCAAAAAATAGCAAAATATTTTTGAGAGTGTATGAAATTAAAAACAAATTTTAGAGGTTGAAAGCATGTAGTCGCAACAAAATTAATTTTTAAAATAACCTTTAAAAAAGCTTGTTCTTTTTACAAAACTACTCGCTTTTAGGTGTGCGACTTTGATAAATTATCTTAGCATCTCCTAAATGTAGGCAATATTTTTTCTAATTTTACTTATTCCATTGAAAAATTAAAAACTTGAAACTTAAGGGGTTAACTTAGCAACTAAACTTCATCTGGTAACGCCAAGGATTGAAGCTTTTCTATGCCTGGCTTGTTGCAACACCAGACGTAACCTACCTTACCTAACAGAAGAGGATATAATTTCTTGTGTATTTAAAAAAACAATGTCTTTGAATATATGTATASTAGATTGAATGTACATACATTTAGGAATATTCTTCGTAATTTAAAGTTGCTCCGGTAATYAGTTTTGGTGGTATGAACATATTCGAATGAATTCAATAACTTTAAAGCGTTTTCTTGAATTTTCAAATTGTTGTCACAAAAATCGACTTGGCAAGACTAGTCCTTTGATAATAAGCTGTATTCAAWCATCCCAATAATATTTTTTTTTTCTAATCTGAGATAATTKTAAGCAGAAAAATCGTTCACACCGCCAAAAATTTCTTCGTGGACGTCTTCTTGGAGATCASCTAAGGAATCAATGGAATCCAGAATTTTTCGGAGTCGCGTTTTAAAGTTGCGTTTTAAAGTTYTGCACATCTAGATATGCTCTCCTACTGAAGATCACCTACGGGATTATTAGCATCCAKAATTTTTCGGACTGAATTGACTCTTAAAGTTCTATGCTCAACCTTTATTTTTGAATCTTGTGTTATCACTAATATTAAATTTCCAATTTATCGCGAACTCAAGCTAGTCTTAATGAAAAACGAAGTAGAGAGTATTCAAAAGACTCGTTCGSCTCTGCGATCAGAATAAAGTTGACTTCTTTCTTCATAAATACCAAAAAACTTTGACCAAGTAGAATTATCAAATAATTTGTAAATAATAAGGGAGGTGTTTTCAAATGATATTTACAGGTAAATTTCCGAATGAGCATTAAATGGATATGTCAATGAGAGAGATATAATTGCCGTTAATTCGAAACTCAAATATAATATAATATTTCTGGACATTGCTATAAAATTCCTCTAAGAAAATGTTTGAGGTCAGAAAAGCATAAGCAAGAAAAATATGTGTTTTGAAGAAATTATAAAAAATTAACACAAGATTTTTTTCAACAAAAAATTGCAAATATCTATCGATTCCAAAGTTCTTCTTTCAGTAACCATATTATAGGTTACTGAAATTCAACTCTGCGTTTTTAGACTATAACGTCTAGATTTTCTGTTTATTGGCTTGTCAGCCTTAAAAAACTACAAAAAAAAAAAAAAAAAAAAAAAAAAAAAAAAAAAAAAAAAAAAAAAAAAAAAAAAAAAAAAAAAAAAAAAAAAAAAAAAAGAACAGCCATTACTGATACTGCTTTCGGTTAACTAATCAGTAATTACCATTACTTGGCCTGCCGGCATGGTCTCACACCTTGGCAGTTTTCATTATCAAAGCTTCTTTGTTCCAGAATTTTTCTTTACTGTAAATTCTCTTACAAAAACACACTGTTGCTGAAACTGTGCAGCGGTATATGTGATCAAAAATTGCTTTTATGCAGTAAATCACTATAAATTTGGACGAGTTCACTGCACACACATATGCACGGTTTTTTAATACTTAAATGCGCACGGTGAAGTTGACAAAGTTTTAAATATAATATTTTTACAATTTGTAATGAACTTTTTGGGCATATACATCTATACATTGGTATGACCCTGTAGGAAAAATATGAATACACTGACTTTAAGCTTCATAATAAATAGTATATTAAATGCAATGTTTTAAGTTTAGACATCAAAGTGTTAGTGATTTACTAGTTAACTTGTGAGGAGTAAGTGCAAAAAAGCATGATTCTGATTATCATACTTGTCCTGTCAGTAAGAATTACATAGATAATTCAATATTTTGAAAACATAAAAGAAAATTCTTAAAGTTTATATTATTAGTTAATATTTTTGGTTAAGTTAAGTTCATCTAGTATTCCAAAGATTCTGGTTTTGATCCTTTGCGATACCAGAAGGAGTTCAGTTACTAGGTCCTTAAGGAGTATTCATCAAGTCATCAAGGAGCAGTCAACGCGAATTGCAACAGACTCTGTGGCCTTAGCATCGATAGGTCTACCCCAGACGCTTACAGGGTAGTCTCRTCAATCCGAGACAAGTGCAYAAGTGATGCTCYCTTGGTTCCGCGGTGCAATGCTCTAGACGTTTGCTGCAAATTTCTGTTGAAAATTTTGACTAAGCGCGACTATTTTGTTGAWTTTTTTTTTTCTATAAAACATGTTGAATTTTACTAAGTATTATGCCTTATTTTGATAGAAACGGGTGATATATACTGATGCTAATTTTCATTATCCAGAATTTTTTAGGCGATTTTTTTGTTTCTTTGCTCATCTAAATGTTTTCTTTTAGAGTAAAGGGTACCAAAGAGAGCATATTTTTAAGTTGTATGAGAATTCAATATTAAGACTATATGTCACCTTGTGTCATAGAGCAGGTCACAGTTTTGTTGATCGACCAGCTGAAATTTAGAAAACATTTTATGTGTGTATATTAGAGCGGGTTGAATTACAGTGAGCCAAAAATGTTCTACGGATCGTTATGAACAACTTTGCTTGAGAGCATATGGGTCTATAATCGGTTTGAGCGAGCGATTTTTTAAGTGAAGTTTAATTTTAGGGATTATAAAAACATCCTGTTCAGATAATCTCAGACAATCTGTCTCTCAGTTGCTAACCTCTAAATGCCCTGCATTGGTGACATTTCACTACAATCTTTTAATTTCTCTGACCACTGTTTCAATTTCCTAGAGGCCACAGCAACGGCAGGAGCCGCTGTTTACTTACACCCACACCCACACACATATTCGCGTTCGCAAGTACTCGCACAAACAAAATGTACACTTTTCTGTTTACCTACAAATATTCATACGCACAATAAGTGCAATTGAAAAAGATGTACAACAACACTTTAACGCACACACACTCACGCTTACTCTTGCATATAGTATATACATACATACATCCGACTGTCGAACATTGCCGCCAGATAGTTATCTATGCATGAGCATGTGTTAGTTTGTGTGTGTGGGCATACATGTAGGGCAGGATCCTATTGGCAACGCTCCCATTTACAATTAAATATTATTTCTTGTTTTTTGCCTCTTTTGCGCTGCCGCGCTCGGTAACCGTATGAAATTCACTTTCTCTTGTGTGGGTGCCACACCAGTTCAGCTACCGCTGTGTCCCACACATGGAATCTCATGACATTTGTAGGTTTGAATATATTTATGTGTGTGTGAGTGTAGTAAAATCCCCCCAAAAGGAATTGGCAAATTTCGTTAGTAAATTTTAATTGAGCCTCTGACAAATTGCAGCTGCGAAATACAGMAAATATCGACCGAGCGGCGTGACATTCGAT